GGTAGGCAAAAAATTTGGTACATTTTTTTTTTTTCGTTATGTATATATAAAATTCATATAATATATAATAAGTCATATGATAGGTAAATAAAATGTTCAGTTTTGCATTTCTTTTTTATCATGATTTGACCAAGTAGGAGTGCACCTTTTTCAACCGAGCCAAGGTGGCAGCACCATTGATTATTTGGCTGTGTGTGCTTGACATATATACAGTGCGAGCTTCATATTTGTCAACGATCCTAAAGCTCATGTGGTATAGTTTGTGCATAAGACGATGTGAGTGTTTAGTCAATTATTTTGACATAAATGTGTAATATAAAATTTTTTGAAGGCGATTACGTTATCATGACATCCCCGAGTGTCAGTAGTCACCAAAGGTAGCACCGTAAACATGACTCCCAAGCGAAAAGTAAGTGTACACAAAGCTCTTATAGGTTAGCTTTTTAAAAACTTACGCTACAAAACAATTAAAAGCCGATTGTTGTTCAATTTATTTCATTGCATTTTGATTTCATTCTAGCAGAACACGAGCTCAGAGTCGTCGACCTCGAGTAGCTCTGGTTCGTCGTCCAGCAGTTCGTCGAGCTCGGGAAGTGAATCCAGTTCCTCAGACTCTGAAAACTCTAGTAGTTCTGCAGCCAGTCAGAAAGCATCTGACTCAGACAGGGTCAAAAAGAAAGCACAAGTGGCTGCATCTCGCCATGTCAAGGGCAAAACGGAAACAAATACAGCACCAGTGGAGACCAAGACCAAGGAAAAGAACGCGTCAAAGTCGAGGTCTGTTGTCTATTCCTCTGAGTCGGAGGGATCTCCTGGTAAGGCAAAACCATCACCAACCAAGAGAAAACTACCTGCTAGGCCCAAGGCTACTGCCACCGTTGCTCCAGTGGTGAAACAACAAAAGACTGGTGCTAAGCCAAGTCCTGCAGTTGTGCTGCAACATAAAAATGCCTCACCAGTAAAGCCAGTGAATAGAGTGAACAAGTTTTCTGGTGAGTCAGATCGTAGGTGCCATGAAGACTTTTCTTGATGGATTTTTTGTTTTTTCAAAGTGGTTTTTAGCTCATACAGTTCATTTTTAATGTCTGCAGTACTGTGATTGTTTTGAAAATTTCTGTAGTGTTGGGTCCACCAACTTTAATGTCAATTGTTTTAATTTTAGCCAACACGACACCTGGGAAAACGATAGATAAAAGCACTAAATCTTCATCCGAACTAGCCCTAAAGAAATTTAAGAAGAAAAGTATATTTAGTCCTGAAAATAGTAGTGAAAGTGATGGCAATACACCTGTTAAAATGACAAACGTGAAACCAACAAGTAATTCTGTAAATGCTTCTAAAACTCAGCCACAGCAAGTTAAAGTCAAGCCTAATGAACAAAAACGATCTTTGATTAGTAATAGACCTAGTAAGTCGATTCTATAGTAGTTTTTCTCATCATGCAGTCTGCTGTTTACATGTAAATAATGAATAATATATTTGTCAATTTAGGTTTGATAACGAAACAAATAGTCAAATCTGAAAGTTCGGCAAGTTCCAAAAGTTCTGCATCCGCATCAGGATCTACGGCCACATCAGACAGTAGTTCTGAATCAGATTCTTCGGATAGTGAAGGGAATCCTCAACTACAGTCGAAAAAGAAAGGACCACCTCCTAGACCTGCTCCTGTAATAAATGCAACAAAAAGGGCTGCAACTTCAGTGGCTACAGTGAAACCGCAAAAAATCAAACGACCAAGTAAATACATTAACATCAATTTCGTTTTATTTAAGTATAAAATAAGTCATTCTTATTCCATCAAAATATTAATTTAAAGCAATTATTTCTTTTTGACCGCTGTTTCAAGTCAAACACTGAATAACACTCATAAGATTCGTCATTCCGTTTGTTATTAGATACAATAAAAATTGAAGAAGATAGTGAGGATGTAGATACTGACAAAGATGTGGAAAACCATGTTGAAAAAAGTACTTCAGTAATAAGGGGGAAGAGAAAAGGTCAACCAAAAAAAGGAAATAAAACGCAGCCACTGACAAAGGCCATTATTGCAAGTGATACTGATTCGGATACTGGTAACAACTATAGTTGATTAAATTTTTGTTTTGGTTATGTATGTATGAAACAAAACAATTGATTAACACTAGGCTTACTTTTAGTTGATACTAAAGTGAATATTACAAAATCGCCAAATAAACGATCTGCACATGGTATGACATCCCGTCAATTAGAATTGGCAATGACTAGATCTGTTAGTGGTGATATTCCTACCAAAGGCCAAAGTTCCAGCAGTAGAACGCATTCAGGGAAAGACAAGGAATGTCCACTGGCATCAGCATGTGACTCTCGTGGACATCTTTCTGGAAGATACGATTCCCATTTTACGTTGGAAGGCTGTCCCCTGTATCATAATAGTACCCCCCAGGAGTGCATGTAAGTTACTTTGTTAGATTTTTTTGTTTGTGCCAGCAGTCGGGTGGTGAACATTCCCGTCTGCTGAGACATGAAAAAGCATATACTCACCAAAGACGAGAGTAAAAAATGCTTAGATAACATGCGATCTGGGACTTTATTACTTTCTCCCTTTAGACGTGTAGAGTGTACTGTTTGTTCAATTAATGTATATCAGTTAATTTAATTTTATTGCACATTGCAGAGAGTTTTATAAAGAAAGAAAAAGGCGAGATGACGAGAGGAAACGAATGATAATTAGCATGGGAAAGAAATCGCCAAAAGGCATTGGGCACCAAACGAACGAGCAACGAAGTTATCAAACAAGAATAAAAGAAATGCGAGGCAAGTTCAAAGATCCTATCACGGACGGCAATGAGTCTGATAATAAGAACGAAATTCAGGGGATTGACAAAACTCGGCAGCCCAATCTTGGTAGTTTGACGACGGATTACGATCTCAAATTGTTTTTAGAGGCTCAAGCTGCCGCTAGTGAAAAAATAGTAAGATAAATTACCCTCTCAAGTAATAGTGCTAGTGCTGTGTGCATGATGAATTAATGAATATTGTTTATTAATAGGAAAAAGACTTGACAGAATTAGAACTAGAAGACATGAAAGAATTAGAACGAAGGAACAATGGTCTGAGTACGCAAATAGTAGAAATGGGAAAATATAAAATGGCAGTCTGGTACCAAAGTCCGTATCCTGAGGAATACAGTAGTGCACCAAAGCTTTATTTATGTGAATATTGTCTGAGGTATGCCAAAAGTAGACAAGTTTTGAGGCGGCATCGAGAAAAATGTGTTTGGAGGCATCCACCTGGTCACGAAGTGTACAGGTATGAATAATAACAATCTTGATCGAATTTTTACAATCTCTGTTGTAAAATAACAATTTGCAATGATATTTAAACATTAGGAAAGAAAAAATTGGTGTCTGGGAAGTGGATGGTCGAAGATACAAACAGTACTGCCAAAATCTTTGCCTTTTAGCCAAATTTTTTCTGGACCACAAAACATTGTACTATGATGTGGAGCCATTTCTTTTCTATGTTATGACAATCAACGATTCAGAAGGTTGCCATATTGTCGGTTATTTTAGCAAGGTAAGTCGAAAACTATGCATTTGGATGAAGAATGTGATTTTTCATCCAAATTTTTTGTTAACTTGTTAATTTTATTTTTATTCTGCAAATGTTTAAAACAATCTGTCACGATAACTAACTGAGTTATCTACAGAACCGAAAAATCACAATTATGGATCAGATTCAAAAGTCATGCGTATCAATATTTATAAAATAATTATAAACACGCTGTTGTCAAACGTAAACCACATTAGTGATTTTAGTGAATGAGTACATTCTGATGGTATGATAATAACCATCTCTTTCTCTCTGGTCAGTAATTCAAAAATGTCTTATCAACTGTACATTCAATCAATCACACTCGTCACGTTCAATCTTCTACGACTTCAGAAGAAAAAAAGGAGCCGTAGTTTTCACTGAAGTCATTTGCTTTCGATATAGATTGTTGATGTATCAGTCAATCATTAGCATCTCGTTGCGCTCTCGCACACTTATACTCGCTATTAGCAGCAGGTACAAATCAAATCCAAATCACATTGTCCAAGACTTGGGAAATCGCCCAGAGAGTGTATAGACCACACACACACGAGCTTGTAATTACTTCCAAGTGCGCATAATATTATGCATGCGCACAAAGAGAGCGGACTAACATTTGACTCGTGTTAGTCTATTCAGGTACATCAAAGACATGTAGTAACTACAGTGGACGTAGCTGTGTTGTATAATATACAGTGTATACTCATACAAGCCGTATTTTCCATCCAAACTCTACCGAGCGGGAAGGAATATTGTCGTTGTCGTCTTCGAGCAAACATACGCAACAACTCGCAATGTAAACCCTCTGTATATGGGTACTCGGTACAGCCATGCGACGCGCGTGTGCCACAGGGAAGGCGTGTGTGCAGGCGATCGGTGGATGCCCAGAGCGGCCTCTGCTCTTGCTCCAATATTGGCTCGCTCCTCCACACTGCGACACATGATTTATCGACCCAACGCTGCATCGGGAAAAAAATCATGTACCACATTGGCGTTAGTTAGATCAACGGGCGCTGAATCCCGATGTAATGGGCACGATCATTTGAACGAAAGGTTGGAAATGCACATCTCTCGACGAGAGCCTCGCGGTACAAATCACCCGTAGAAGCCCTTCGGTCTTAAATGCAATTACGTTCCGCGTACACACGCGATCACGAGAAGTAAGTAGACACCTACGTAACACCCAGTAGCAGCTTGTCGGGTGTACGCATACATATACAGATACCGGGACGCTATAAAGCCACCGGTGAATGGCATTAATGCCCCCAGACGCTCAGCCCGCAGCCGAGCATTTACAGGTTGTTTTTCTTTTTTTTTTTTTTTTTTTTCTGCGCCAACATAAATAACGCGCGCACACACGCGCTCTACTTTTCCGAAAAAAAAAAAAAAAAAGGGACCAGCGTCCGCGCACTATCTCACCGAAAAATCTCACCTGTGCAGTGCACGCGGTTATCTAGCTCAGCGCTTCCTTTTCACCGAAACTGACCCGCACCTCCCCCCAAACGCGTGTACACGAGCGCGCGTTGGCCAAAGTGCGAGAACTAAGTCAGAGACAAATAAAAGCGAGGAAGGGACATGATGCAACGCAGTTAGCTATACATGCGAGGAGATGAAGACGAGGGCGACATCCCGAACGGGCCCAAGTTGGCGTAGATTTTTCTGGGAACGAAGCGAGAGGGGCCTTTTTTTTGTGGGAAAAAAAAAAAGAAACAGAAACGGAGAAAAAGAAAAAAATCGGGGACCAAGCGCTGCGGGACTGTGTTTACGTATATATATATATGTATGTATTAACGGGACCGGTGACAAAAAAAAAGAAAGAGCGACAGATTTACGAGCGGCCGGTGCACGCGCCAATCACCACCAGCACCGGCGGACCTCTTGTTCTAACCCCGAAAATAAATACGCGGCCACGGGGTGTGTGAGTTAGCGAACGGAAGGCAGACCCGGATGCCTTTAGGTAATTTCGGCCGATTTACGGGGACGCGCTTGGTTCGGGCGGTTTTTACGCTCCTCCGCGCCGGCGGATCAAATTGCGAGCAGACGGTGGAAATTGCTCCGGTATTGTCTTGATGAAATTCTACGACATTGGACGCACACGTCCGAATACCCCTTGAAAAGCACACGCGCAATGTACCATCGAACCGCGTCATTATCTACTCGAGATTTTTTCGGCCGTGGTATACATGATGTCCCGATTGAGCCATCGATCCCCCTTACACCCGGCACTTTAATAACAGCTATACGCACAGGGTTTCTGGTTTAAATTAACTGGGTTGGGATTTTCGGAAAACTCGTCACTCGCGCCAGAAGCTCGTATTCGGATGTAATGGGCCCTCGATTGATTCATCTCCACCCGTGATGCACGAGAGTCCCCCGAACCGCATGTCTGATCTATCCTCTCTCTCTCCAAAGCCATTAATCTCCTGCACTTAGGTAGACTAAAAGGTACACGCTTTGCCCTCCTCCGGTTCACATTGTTCCCGCGTCGGGTAATATTCTCCCTCGTTGAAAAACACCTCGACTTTCCACCGGCCACGGGTTTTCCCCCCGTTGACTCGGCCGCGCGCTCTCCAGCCCCCATTAAGCGCCAGGGGGTCCATTTTTTCCCGAACGGAGAAATGCCTCACTCCCACCGAGGGCTCGTCCCGGAGAGATGTATGGGGCGTGCGCACCCCTCTATTATGTTCCCGTGGCTCACCTGGACGACGAGCGCGTGGGTTGTGTCTCTGATGGGGCTGAAATGGACCCCTACTCGTCGCCATCATCATTATCATAAGCAGCAACAAAGGCACCGGCATTGTTGGGACGAGAGAAGTGGCGCTTTCGGAATTGCGAGTCAAAACGTTGGTATGGGGGAGTGTTGCTACTTCTCTCTCTCTCATTCTCTGTGTGTTACTTAGGCCTGTCTAGAGCTTTTCGATGTCCAATTGTCTTCTGTTGCTTTTCGAGGCTCTGTACTCTCGATATTCTGGAGGATTTTTCATTTTTTTGTGTACAAAGCTCTAGTGTGATAATATCATGTGAAACTTCACACCAGCTTTTTAAATCAAAGTTCCATAGTCATAGAAAAAAACTTTACTTTTTATTGCCGATGAAAAAAAAACAACGTGACATTAATTAAACTTACCTTTATTAGAAACGAGTTTGAGTAAAATGTAAAACAGAGCCAAGAAAATTATCTACATAACTATTACCAACCCATAAGCTGATTATCTACGTAATCCCTATGGTAAACATTTCACTCAAACGTTTGAGAAATTTTCTTACGGTTTTTTTTTTTTTTTTTTTTAATTTTATTCTTCGTC